AATCCCCAACTGGTTCTTGACCTCAAAGAGAAAAGTACTAACATTTCACTATTAGGTATGATCATTTATTTAGACTTCCAGGTGATCTTTATCAAGGTTCTATAATAAAAATGTTTTTCTGCGTCACAGGCAAATATGGCAAGATTGTAACATTGGTTAAATCTTAGTGGAAGATTGTGGTAGATTAAAAAGAATTGCAACTTTTTTGCTACTTCTCCCATTGAGAGTTGGAGTCTAATTCACCTCCCCATGAATCTGTGCAGGCCTTAGTAACATGCCTGGTCCACAGAAGGTGGCAGAGTGATGTTTTAGAAAGTTATGCAGCTTCTGCCTAGGGCTCCTGGGACATTCTCTCTAAGAACCCTTAGCTGCCACATGAGTCTGACTGCCCTGATGGCCATGCTGGAAAGGCTACAAGAAGGTGGCCCCCCTACATAGTCTAAAATCACTCTAGTCTTCGAGCCATTTGCACCAAGGTATGAGACACTGAGTGAAGCTGTCTTGAGCCCACCAGACCAGTCCATCTGCCAGAAGAATAAACTGTTGACACCAAGAGAAGAGTCAATCAAGACTTGTCCAAATTCCTGAGCAATAAAACTTTAAGATGTAATAAAATCATTGTTTCAAGCCACTAAGTTGCTTTAAGCCATGCCACTTGGGATAGTTTGTTAAGCAGCAATAGATAACCAGAACCTAGGCACAGAAACTATTTTTTATGGTTTTACATTTTTTCATAATTTAACAAAATTAAGTCTCCTCCTCATTGTTGGATTTGAGGCTAGTTTCCACTGGTTTGGAAAAACAACAAAAGATAAAGATAGGGAAGAATAGCCTAGAGGACTTCAGGTTCAGTGCTAGATCAATGCCAAGATCAAGTCTGCATAACCAAGGTTACTAGTCTAATAGAAATGAATTAGACAATGGTACCCTTATTGATGGATACTCCACTGCAGGCCCATCACTTAGTGATGGACCAGTATCTTCATGCTATTCAGAAAATGGAGCACTTTTCTCCAGGCAGACACAGCTGGATACCAGACTGTGAGGAAAAAAGTGCAGGCCAGACCTCAGCCCCCACTTGCTCTAGCATCCGTGTGCAGGGCACAATTCATGTAATCTATATGTAATATCTTTAGAAGTATAAGCAAGGCAACATTTCTACATTTGCAAATGACACAAATTCTTGTGGGTGGTAATGAACTAAGTTGACGAGGATTGATGAGATAGATCTTACAAATCGGTGAGTGGGTGGAAAGGTGACAAATGAGTGCATAAAATACACGTATGCGCCATCAGTCACAGCTAAGGAGAGGGAGCTAGGGTGACTGTAGATTGTTCCCTGAAGATAAATGCAGAGGCTCCTTCTGACAGCAAAAAGAACAGCCACTTGACTGAATTATCAAGTGACATTCCCCCTGAGAAACAAAGAAGTACCACCCACTCAACTGATGCTTTGATGGAAGTTGAATAAGGCAGAAACCATCAGGAGAAAAACTGGGGAAAAATTAACAGCATGAGGGCTCAGAGGAAACCCAGACTTCTATATATCATAAGTGGAGTATGAAGGACAAACCAATCAGATCCCAGGGGAAGCAGCGGCAGTTTTGCAGATGGTAACTGACTACAGCATGCTTGGGACTGGAAACCAGTAGACAGGATGATGGTGGTAATGGAAGCAGACTATTCCTGGTGATGGCAGCAGTGGCAGCAATTGAGTTGGTTTCTTAGCTGATACCAGTGGTTGGACAGCAATGGTGGCTCCAGATCATTCATGTTGGCAACAGTAATGGAAATGAAGCAGCAGTCAGGGAATTGTTCAACAAACACTTCATCAACTCTCTATTCAGCACTGACCAAATTTCAGGTATTATGTTGCATGGATAAATAATTATTGTATGCCCAGCCATGTAATAGATGCGGTAGCACAAAGACGACTAGAACATGATCCTCACCCCTCAAGGACTCAGAACTGAGTATGGGTGGCACATGAGAACAAATAATTGTGGTAATGTGGGAGTTGTGAGGAAAAAAATTATATTGTTGTATAGGTCCAATGCAAAAAGAAAAAACATAGTCCTTTGCTCTGACATATAGCTTTATTGGAGACACTATGTTAGGCACCACAGAAGATAAAAAGATAAGTATCAGATATAGCTTCTGATTTGGGATGCTTATAGTCTAATAGATGAGGCAGGACAAGTATAATTCTATAAAACAAGGTAAAAAGGGCTATGTCTATTTAAATGAAAACGAAAAATTTAGTCACACTAGCTATATCTCCAAGTGCTCAGTAGCCACACATGGCTATTAGGCATCAATAGATACAAATCATATTGGATGTCACAGATATAAAACACTTCCAACATCACAGAAAGTTCTATTGGACAGCATTTATCTAGAAATTGGTCAGAGAGTAGAACCAGGAGAATTTAGTCTCCTGCAAGCCAGGGAAAACAACATTTCAAGAAGGGAAAAACCAATGGTATCATGTGCTTCAGTAAAAGCATGTGAAGGCCAAAAACAAACAATGAATTAAGTGACCTTTAAGGTAGTTTCAGACTAGTAATAAAGTTAGAAACCAGATTATAAGAGATTTTGGATGAAATGGATGATAAATAAGTAGAGATAACAAGCATAAACGATTCTTTCCGGTAATTTTGCAGTGAGGGAAAACAGAGAATGGAAACCTAAGGAAAAGTTGAGAGAGAATCCAACTGTGTATGTATGTGCTTAATATGTCTGTGGACTCACTGGAAGGCTTGAACACCAATCAAGCAGCTATCTACCAGCTCTACCAATAAGAAAACCTTTCATGTAGCAATGACAATTGAGGGGATATAATCATACAATTTTAAAGCTAGGAGGAGACTTAGAAATCGTCTAATCCACTGGTCACATTGGTGCCCACAGTCACACACATAGCTCCTTAGTATTAAAATCTAGAATAACAATCAGGTCTCAGGTGCCTGGGTGACTCAGTCGTTAGGCCTCTGCCTTTGGCTCAGGTCATGGTCCCAGGGTCCTAGGACAGAGCCCTGCATCGGTCTCCTGCTTGGCGGGAAGCCTGCTTCTCCCTCTCCCACTCCCCCTGCTGTGTTCCCTCTCTTGCTGTCTCTCTCTGTCAAATAAATAAATAAAATCTTAAAAAAAAAAAAAAAAAACTCAGGTCTCCTGCATTCCAGTCCATTAGCTGTTCTACCTCACTTCAACTGACTCCCAAGATAGACCAGAGAAGAGGTGAAGAAATCTATTGAGTTCCATTAATCTAGCAGGAAAAAGAAAATCTCTATGTTCACATATACAAAATTTCAGTTTTCTTAGAGACAATTTTACTTCTCTCCTTTAAAATTCAGAAAAACAGAAAACTAAGCAGGAATGTCTGCTATTTTGTAACAAACAATATACTAAAAAGAAATTAAATGTTATCTAAATCTTTCACATATAGATGTGAGAGGTATGTTTTCACTATTTCACAGCTCAGAAATTTATGCATCAGGTCAGTAAGATCATTCTTACTCAGTTCTACACTATAATCAATTAGGAAATGATGGATAAAATGGGAGAAAATAGATGAACAGGCTAGGGAATGAAAATGGTCTGTTCAAAAAATAACAAAAGTAACAAGAACAAAATCATTTACTGATGCCGATCTTAAAAATAAAACCAATAAAAGCAGCCTTTTAGATTAATTAATATTTATCTTGAATTCTTGAAACACAAAGTGTTTCAAGAAACTCTAACACTGATCACCTTTGAAGAGGGGAACTGGGTGACCTTTCACAGTAACCCCTTTATAACTTTTGGATTGCAACCATAACAATGTTACCTATTCCAATAAATAAGTTAAAAAAAAAACTTCAAAGGACTTAGTTCCTACCAATAGTAATTACTAGCATTCTACAATCCCCCCGAGGATGCAGAAAAATGGAAATTTCAGTAAAGAAAAATGCTAACTCTATTCTGAAATGGCAAGGGAGAAATTGGATTAAGGGCCAGAAGACTTTCCTCTGGGGGCTGGGAATCAGGAAGGAAGAAAAGATGATTGCCTGCAACGGTAACTATTTGATCAACTCAGTTCTATTGCTATTATTTTTAGCTCCTCTTTTTAGTCTGTTGCTGAGGAACCCTATTACCTGAAAGCAATTTACTAATAGGAACCTACATGAAGCAGGAGCAAAGCAACGATCCTGAAACCTTTGAATTAGGCCATTCTAATTTAATCCATCTATTTTTGTGCCACGTAATAAATTATCTTTCGATCTTTACGAAGCTCTACTGTGATGTTGAAAATCCTTTGTGCCCAAAAGCAAAATGACCCTTTGTAAATTAATATAAGGGGCTGCAGACCAGTATACTTGAAATGGGAGCCATAGTTCTGGATTCATTCTCTATTTATACTTGTCTTTTCTTACTGAAAATACTATGAATTCCAGCAATTCCTTGCAAGGGAAATTCTTGTATTTTAAGATGTCTGGTGCAGAGCAGGGGGAAAGGACTTGACAAAGCTATTCGATATATGAAAGCTATGAATTGAAATTTCGGTTTGGAAATGAAGAAGGCTGACACAGCTAGTGCAAAACTCGCAAGGCAGTGGGCGGATCAGAGCACTGCGGCGGGCGCGGGGGCTCCAGGGATCGCAACGTGGGCTGGGATGTCAGGAGAAATCCAGCACAAGGCACAAACACGTATAGGAAAGCTGCAGGCAGGTGGGAACTCTGGGTCATCCATTTCTACCCACTCAGTTAAAAGAACTTCATTAACAACACATAGACGTCATCGCTTTCGTAACTGGTGCAGACGGTGAACCGCAGGGACTCCGTTCAAGCCGTTTTGGCGAAAGCCAATTTAGATTTGCCCGTTTCCACCCAGTCTGATTTCTGCTATCTGCTGTTTCCCCCAATAATCTCAAATTCCTTCAAACTAAAATCTGGCCACGGTAGAAATAAGAGAATTAGTGATACAACAGGCTAGCTCTAGCTTTGAGTTCTTCCTTCACACACCTTTACTAATCCGTTCGTTTCCCGCACGTACAGATGGATAACCAAACTACTGGCCTCAGAGGTTTAAGAAGCTACGTGGCGGTAATGGGAGAACGGAGCCCAAACTCCACCAATAAACCGGGCTACTCAGGCCACGCCACGCCCACCACTCCTGCCAACCAATAACATTCACAACTCTTTCACCACTCCCGCCCGTTCTTAGGACCGCTGCAGAGCCTCCGCCGTTCGCCTGCGCAGCATAGATCCGCTGTATAAGCGTCCCTCCTCCACTTCCCCAGATAAGACGGCCCTCGGAAGGCGGAGAGAACGACACTGGCTACCACCGGAGACCCAAAGCCCTAGAAGCTAGTCTAACAGCAGGGGCGCGAAAGGATAGAGAAAGGGCCACTCACGAAGCCCCCCTCCCGCCCTGTTCCCCCTGACCCGGAAGTAATTTTCCCCTCTTCTCTCCGCCCCCTCCCTCCCTACGGTTGAGAAGGGAGGAAAAGGACGGCCGGGTCTGGCCCGGCATGCCTTAGGCTTCCGGTGACCTCTGGCCCTTTTCTGTCGTCCGCTCTCGCTGCCTAGCGTGCTCCCTCGCCCACTGCCTCCTTACCTCCCTCCGGTCTTCCTTCGCACGCTACCTGGTGACTGAGGCGCCCGCGACCAGTAGGGAGGCGGTGGCGGAGGACGCTTGTCATGGCCGCCTCTAAGCCTGTGGAGGCGGCGGTGGTCGCGGCGGCTGCGCCCAGCTCCGGGAGTGGGATGGGCGGCGGCGGCGCGACTGCGGGCCCCGGCACTGGGGGCCTACCGCGATGGCAGCTGGCGCTGGCGGTCGGGGCGCCCCTGCTGCTAGGCGCAGGTGCCATGTACCTGTGGAGCCGGCAGAGGCGGCGCCGGGAGGCTGGGGGCCGAGGCGACTCCGGCGGTTTAAAGCGCAACAGCGAACGGAAGACCCCAGAGGGCAGGGCCAGCCCGGCCCCGGGCAGCGGACATCCCGATGGCCCCGGTGCTCACCTGGAAATGGTGAGAAGCAGCCCTGGGCTATGGAGGTGGAACCCAGCGGGTGCAGCCTTTCCTTGGCTAGCTGTGCGGGTCAGGGGGCTTCCCATCAGACGGAAGCTGCCTGGCAGCACATGGATTTAGCACATTTCTGGCTGCCTTTGTAGGGATTGGAATAGCCCGAGAGCACAAGTTAGCGTTCTTCTTTGATAGTTTCCTTTTGGTTTCAGAAAAATACTTGTCTTTTTTTCTCAATGACACAGCATTTATCTCTGGCGTTTTGGGTACGGGGGACATTTGCACATGTGAAGATTGTATTTAGTGAAGGAAGCCAACTTCCATTTACGATTAGTACATTGTGGTTGATAGGAATTGTGATTTCCAAGGCCTAGAACTTGATTCGTAATAACCTTTTAATAACGAGCCACCCCCGTTTTTTGAAGTCTGTTAGGGTAGGGGATAGGTAAATACAGTGACTGTTGGTTGGCAGAGTGAAATGATGTTGAGTAGCATTTGTTTTTTTATCTGTGGAAGTGAATTCTTAAACTTTTTTGGTAGAAGCGTCTTAAATTCATTTTTTAGTTTTACCTGAAAATTTACATGATCAAGCCTGACATGCGTGATAAAGATTCTTTGATGTTAGGCCAAGCGTCAGAGTATCTGGTGAACCGCTTTGCATGGTTTTGTTGAACCGACTGTTAAATCCTTTTGGTATCTGACAGCTGTGGGGAATAAGCCTGGCTGCATTTAACAATACTGGGATGGGGTGGGGTGGAAGATTTTATTTGCCTCTCGGATTGTACAGTGGTAGTTCAGAGTAAATCAGAGTTCAGAGAAGCCTTTGGTTAAATAACTCCCAGTCAAATACGTTTGCAAGTCATTTCCACATTATATTATTCAGGTTAAAGACATGATTTTACTAAGTAGTCAAACTAGCTTTGAAGGAAGTTTTGATGTGGGATTGAACTACCATAATTTAATGCCCACTATATGTCAGGCGTTGTGCTAGGCTGTGAGAGCCAGATAGTCTTTGTAATGGGAGAGTAAAACATAGCCTTTTTTTTTTTTTAATATAGAAAAGATGCAGTACGGTATGCTGGAAGAGCCCATGGACTGTGAGAACTGTGAGATGTGCACAGTTGTAGTGGACTCTCCAGCATAATTACCTTGGGAAAGTCATTTTACCTCTGGTTTACTCTCATCCCCATACTATAAGAGGATTACAATATTTTAGGTCTCTCATATCTTTTCCAGCTCTAAAAATTGTTGCCTGTGAGTGTTGCTAATGAGAGTGATAATCGGGGGATTCTTTGAATTCACACTTGTCTTATATCATTTTCATATGTCTGAAATTCTCTGGTCATTTCCTATTTCATTTTTTAGCTTAATTTTAATCACAGAAGAAGAATGAATGAGAAATATATAAAAGCTTTTAGTTCTATAATCACTAAAAATAACAATTTTTATACATGAAACTTTTTGACTTTTTTTTTTTTTTGCAGTTTCAAATACTGCCCCATCTCACCCATTTGGTATTTGAATTTAGTATGCCATTGGTATAGAATTCAGCAAACTGTCTTTCAGATTTTAGATTTTCTTAAATCCCGTTTTTAGTTTTTCAACATTGTCTGGGTCAAAAGTGATGATTTTTAAATTTGAGGGTGTTTTGTAGTTTTATCAAAACAATTTTTTTAAGTCGCTGCTGTTAAAAATTAGATTTTATGATTGACTTGTATAAGTTGAACTGCTTTAAAATGATTTATTATTTTTGACCCAAAATAAAACTGAGCAAAACACACTTAGGGTTGTTCACCTTCTGGAATTTGTGGGCTTATATTCTTGCTTTGAATTACCAAATTATTCTTCAGTAAAGCAACAGTTAGAGGTGTCTTTGCCATTTTTCTAAAGGAAATTTGTGTTTTAACTATGGTGACTAATAAATACTGAAAAACTATTTTTCTGTCTTTTTTATAGTCTGGTCCTTAAAGTTATTATTAGACTATCTATATATAACTGACCACCGGTTATTTATTTATTATCTGTGGTTGGAGAAATTGCTTTATATTTGAATAGCACCTTTCATTTGGCAACTTTAGTGGGTTTGGTAAATAAGGAAATCATTTGTTTCATCTGATGGAAAAACTGGCAGAATCCTGATGCCCTAACTGTTCTTTGCCCACCTGAGCAATAGCCATAATTTTTAAGGGAATGAAGGAATGGACAAATAGTGTCTTTTCAGAGTTAAGTGAATAAAATTCAGTGGTTTTTGTCTGTTGCCGATGTTTGCCTTATGTAAAATGAACCAATAAAATTATCTGGCTTGTGATTTTCGTGTGCAGTGTAGACTATCCATTTATCTTTTTTTCTGGGATAAACACTTGAAAGCAAAAGCAGAAATTCATATTTCTCTAAGTAATGGAGATTTTAGGATTTCACTAAAGAAAGGCATCAGATTGCAGTTGATAGCATCTGAGATTGAGGTACTTAAAGTATTAAATCATATTCCTTTTTGGCCCATTGAAAAACCTACCATGATGTGCCGTTTTAATTTGAAGAATTACAGGTTTCCAAAGTTGGAAAGATTCTTTGAAGAGCACCTTATCCATAGGGCTTCTCAGTCTCTGGCCCTGAGTTATAGCAAGGGACTACCAAACCCACATATACACCAAGTAATGGTATTCTGGCTACATAGATAGATGTCTTAGGCATTTCTTTTTTCAAACTTGGGATTTTTTTGAAATATGCATTTATTTAGAACTTCGTTGAGTATAGTAGCTTTTTATCCGGTTGTTTTTTAATCTGATGATAAAATATAGTTATTCTGGTATTCAAGTTTTTTTAATGTTACACAGGAGTTATCCCACATGAAATGGTTAGGAACCACTAATCTAAGCACTCTAGAATGGGAAGGGAGAAATGTACTTAAACATTTTAATTAGGGGATCACAGACTGAGTAACCTGCTGTTTTCAGTCATTTTTGAAGTGAAGTAATTCTCTCCTCTTAAACGAGCTTCTAGTCATTTTTTAAAAATCGGGTTCACCAATGATATTCCTATATAACTAAGTCCAGTGAACACCTTTCAGTCTTTATCTCACTTGATCCTTGGCAATATTTCACATTGTCTTGTCTTAATTCCATCACTTTTCCTGTGGCTTCTGATATACTATATTCTGATTTTCTTTGCTTTTTAAAAATTTCTTGATACCTCCCTTGCTGATTGTTCTCAGTCTCCTTTCCAGGCTCTTTTCTCTGCCTCTTCCTTTTGGTGATCTTCATGGTTCTATCATAAGCATTCTTACCTTCCACACCTTCACTAGATGCTTGCTGTATGGGAGTTTTATTTATCTCATATACTGATAGCTCCCTAATTTCTTGTCTATAGCCTAGACCTCTCAAGAGGCCCAAATTTAAGGGGAATTTTTACTTCATTACTCCACAAATATTTCACATCCAAACTCCTGTTCTTCGTGAAGAGTACCCCTTTTCAATGTGCCTCATCTAACTAGTTTCCCAAGCCAGAGACTTGGCTATCATCCTAACTTTCTGCCCCTTGTGTGTTTTCCACATCCAATCCAGGAAAACATCTAGAAAATTCTTAAGTCTTGACTGCTACTACATTCCCACTGCCATTATTTCTCAACCAAATAACTGCTCTTCTCATTGTCTTCCTCTAATCCATTTTGTCACTGCTAGAATAAATCCTGACAGCTCCAGGCTTAAAATCCTTAAGTGGTGTTCAGTTCATTTCCTACAACATAAAGTTGAAACCCATCGTCATTTAAGACCCTCAGTGATCTTGATCCTGCTTACTTACCTCTTCAACTTTATCTCTTGACACTTCTCATGTTTTTCGCCTTTGGCTCTTCTATGAACACTGTCCAATACTCCTACCTTCTCATCCTTCAAATCACAACATGTAGGTATTTTAACCTTTTCTGAAACCCTTTACCTGGGCATACCACTATGTGATTACATAACACCCTGAACTTTTCCCTTCCATAGCACTTACCACATGGTACTAGAGTTACTTATTCATGTCTTTCCTACTGTACTCTGGAATATGTGAAGGCTAGGACTGGCTCTGTCTTACTGTTGTATTCTCAGAACATAATACAATGTTTGGTACAAAGCAGAGGTTGAGTAAATGTGCCAATGAAGCTTCATTCTTTGTAGATATATATATATCTATCTACATATATATGTGTGTGTGTATGTATACATATATATACATAGTGTGTGTATATACACACACATAATTCCACAAGTTGAGTTTTTTTTTTTTCAGACTTCCAGCTTTTTATTTTTATTCTACCAATCAATCCTAGAAGTTGGTATAACAGTCTTAAACCTTATTTAGGCATTCTTCTTATTTTTATTTTTTTTAAAGATTTTATTTATTTATTTGACAGCGAGAGACACAGCGAGAGAGGGAACACAAGCAGGGGGAGTGGGAAAGGGAGAAGCAGGGAGCCCGATGCGGGGCTCGATCCCAGGATTCTGAGATCATGACCTGAGCCGAAGGCAGAAGGCAGACGCTTAACGACTGAGCCACCCAGGCGCCTCCTAGGCATTCTTTTTATAAATCACCTGATTTTGGATGAACTACTACCATAATCTTGCAGAAGCAGTGTTTTTACAAGTGGGTTCTTAGGTAAAGAGTGCTCTGTACTACGATTTAGTAGGTGGGGTTGGTTGTAGGTTTTTAAAAACATAATATGGGAAAGGACTTTATTATTATTATCTCAGGTATTTTCTTGTTATCTTAGCTTTTATTCATACAAAAGTAACAGTTGGTCGATAAAGTATTTTAAAAGATTGTTTCTCATGCTTCAAGTTTTCCACAGTTGATTGCTACTTCTTTTAAGCTGAAATTCAAATTTTAAAAATATGCTTTTGGAATTTGGTAAATTTAAGGGACTGAAACCATTGAAAAGAAACACTATCAAACCACCTTACGTATATTTTAACTGGATATAAATGTGTAATTATGGGAATACTCATTTTCTTATGCATAGATTCCAG